AGAGCTATTTAGAAAAAGGAGAAAAATCTAGATCTTTCTTTCTTTCAACACACCGGCCATATCCCACCGAGGCGGGGTGGCCCAAAAGGAAAAACAAAAGCTTCTCCTTTTAAATTTAGTAATATATACAGGAGAAGGGGTTACTAGACCCTTGCTCCTGGCATTTTAGTCGCCTCTTACAACACGCATGGCTTACGGAGGAAGAATTCTGTTCCACTTCCCCATGGAGGAAAAATCTAGATGTATGTATATATATATGCATGTGCGTGTCTGTGAAGTGTGACCAAAGTGTAAGTAGGAGTAGCAAGATATCCCTGTTATCTAGTGTGTTTATGAGACAGAAAAAGACACCAGCAATCCTACCATCATGCCAAACAGTTACAGGTTTCTGTTTCACAGTCATCTGGCAGGACGGTAGTACTTCCCTGGGTGGTTGCTGTCTACCAACCTACTACCTATATTATTATTATTATTTTTATTATTATTATTATTATTATAATTATTATTATTATTTTTCCTCTTGTTTTTCCTCTTCCAAGTGCTGCTGCACTTTTGACTCTGTCTTGTACTATGGGGTGCACAATAAAGTACAAATTTATAGATGAAATATGTAGTCTTGGATTTGCTTGATGCTGAGACACATCACTAACCCCTTTACAGTGAACTTCTTTTGTGCTTCTTCCATTCTTTCCACCGAAGCAGGGTGACCCAAAAAAGAAACTCGCACTTTCACCATCATTTACACATAATCACTGTTTTTGCAGAGGTTCCCAGATATGACGATTTAGATGTCGCTCCAAACGCCAATATCCCAAACACCACCTTTAAAGTGCAGGCATTGTACTTCCCACCTCCAGGACTCAAGTCCTGTTTATTGTTAAGTTTATTAATTATAGCTTACTATGTATATAATTATTTGTGTGAAGCTATAAAGCCATGTGGGTCATTAAATGCAATGGGTGATAAAAGCTTGATCTGGTTTTTTAATCCCAATGCCGTCTATGACCCATGAAATTTGAAGTATGTAAAGTAAAAGGACACAAGTGCAACTAATGTGACATTTTATTGTGGCAACGTTTCGCTCTCCAGGAGCTTTGTCAAGCCGATACAAACAGTATATGGACACAGAGGGTATATAAAGGCTCAGAGTGAGGTGCAAAACTAGTGAGGTACCATTTCGATGTTCACTAGTGCTAGTAGTAGTAGTGACAAAAGTTGTAGTAGTAGTAATACAGTATGGTAGAGCAATTAATTTGTACATGAGTAAAAGGATATAAAAGCTATTACTTGGGTAACATAAAAATAGGTTGGACAAATATAGGCTGGTTAGAGAAGGCCTGTTTCAGTGTTCACTCTCTGTAATGTGCTTTGTGTAGTATAACAGGAGAGACTATGTGATGGCAGGGTTTACTGTTTTCAGGAGGATTCTCGCTAAGACTTCAGAGATGGTGAAGCTGCCATTGTTTTGTTTAATTGTATTCGAAACAGCGATCAGTGCTGATTCAAGGCACTTGCATCTGCGGAAATTAGTTTCTTTGATCACTAATTGGGCGTCCCTGAATTTCATGAGATGATTGGTGGAATTTCGGTGTTGTACACAGGCGTTGTTCAAGTTGTCGTTCCTACATGCGTAAATCGTGTTCATTGAGGCGGGTGTCGAGGTTTCTTGCTGTTTCACCTACATAAATCTTGTCACAGCCTCTACAGGATATAGTGTAAACCCCTGCATTGACTGGTTTGTAGTGCTTTGATTTTGTCCTGGTTAGATCCTTTATTGAAGTGCTAGAAGCGATGGCGACTCTGGTGTTAGCTTGTGAAAGTACTTTAGAAACGTTCAGTGCAACCTGGCTGTTGGGAAGAATTATAACTTTGTTGGGAGTGGTGTTGGTGCGTGGAGAATTAATGATCTGAAGAGCTCTTTTCTTGCAGTCTTTGATGAAAAAGGAAGGAAAATGTAACTCAGGGAAGGTTTGGTGAATGTATGTACATTCCTCGTCAAGAAACTCAGGACTACAAATTCGGTATGCTCTTAGGAAAAACCCAATGATGATGCCTCTTTTGGTCTTGGTATCTTGACTGGAATAGAAGTGTGTGAGATCATTTTTATTGGTAGGTTTCCGATAAACTTGAAATCTGAGGTTGTTGTCTACTTTGTGAATGAGGACGTCGAGGAAAGGTAGCTTGTCATTGGACTCTTCTTCTAGTGTAAACTGGATCGCCAGTTCAACTGCGTTGAGCCTTGCCTGAAGATTCCATACATCAAAACGTTTTGGAGTTATTACGAGGACGTCGTCCACGTAACATAACCAAGTGACGCTTGAAGGGATGATGTTTGCGAAGTGTTCGGACTCTAGGTGTTCCATGTATAAGTTGGCTAGGATGGCACTGATGGGGGACCCCATTCCCATGCCATAGGTTTGTTTGTAGAGCTTGTTATTGAAAGAAAAACAGTTGAAATTAACACAGAGTTCAATCAAGTCAACAAAATCTCCGGGAGGTAGAGGATGATTAAGGTCCTGATTGACTTTACATCATAGAACCTCGATGGCTTTTGTGGTAGGTACTTTTGTGAAGAGGGAAGTCACGTCCAAACTGCTTAGTTTCTTGTTATGGATGGAGAGGTTGTGGATGCGGTTGAGATTAATCATCAGCCCCGCTCATCTTATACACTCAGGCAACCTTCTCAACCGCATCTGCAACCTCTCCATCCGTAACAAGAAACTAAGCAGTTTGGACGTGACTTCCCTCTTCACAAAAGTACCTACCACAAAAGTCATCGAGGTTCTACGACGTAAAGTCAATCAGGACCTTAATCTTCCTCTTCCTCCCGGAGATTTTGTTGAGTTGATTGAACTCTGTGTTAATTTCAACTGTTTTTCTTTCAATAACAAGCTCTACAAACAAACCTATGGCATGGGAATGGGGTCCCCCATCAGTGCCGTCCTAGCCAACTTATACATGGAACACCTAGAGTCCGAATACTTCACAAACATCATCCCTTCAAGCGTCACTTGGTTACGTTACGTGGACGACGTCCTCTTAATAACTCCCAAACGTTTTGATGTACGGAATCTTCAGGCAAGGCTCAACGCAGTTGAACCTATTTTTATGTTACCCAAGTAATAGCTTTTATGTCCTTTTACTCATGTACGAATTAATTGCTCTACCATATTGTGTTACTACTACTACTACAACTTTTGTCACTACTACTACTACTACTACTACTAGCACTAGTGAACATCGAAATGGTACCTCACTAGTATTGCACCTCACTCTGAGCCTTTATATACCCTCTGTGTCCATATACTGTTTGTATCGGCTTGACAAAGCTCCTGGAGAGCGAAACGTTGCCACAATAAAATGTCACATTAGTTGCACTTGTGTCCTTTTACTTTACATATTGTCGGTAATTCTACCAACATTATTACAAACATGAAGTACAGTGGTCCCTCGTTTTTTGTAGTTAATCCGTTCCTGGAGTTGCTACTATTATCGAAATCTACGATTTATGAATCAATTTTCCCCATAAGAAATAATGTAAATACAATTAATCCGTTCCTGACACCCAGAAGTGTTAAAACAAATAATTTTTTACATGAAATATAGATGTAATACATAAACAATACAATGGGAAATGATGAATGAAACATTAACAGCATAACACTTACCTTTATTGGAGATTCTTCTTAGTGTATGGGAGACTGGAGGAGGAAAGAGATTGGATTGTTTACAGTTTGGAAGGGGAATCCTCTTCCAGCAACACCTCAGGTACCAATTGCTTTTCTGGGGTTGCTTCTCTTCTCTGTTTCTTAATGCCACTAGGACCACCTTGAGAGTCACTGGAGTCCTGTCTCACAAAATAACTGTCCAGAGAGCTCTGTTTCTGGGGTCTCTTTAAAACTTCCCTAAAATGGCCCAAGACTTTGTCACTGTACATGTTGCCAACATGGCTTGCAACAACCTTGTCAGGGTGATGTTTCTCCATAAAGCTTTCCATCTTACCCCACATAGCAAAAATATCTCTAATTTCTGAAGAAGGCACCTTCTTCCATCTCTCTTCCTCCTCCTCTGCAGCAAGATTCTGAGCTGCGGTCTGTTGCTGTTCCGGCTGAAGCTCTTGCAGCTCGTCAGTGGTGAGCTCTTCGTTGTGGTCTTCCACCAACTCTTCCACATCCTCCAAACTCACATCCAACCCCATGGAACTCCCCAGTGCCACAATTTATTTAACAACAGACATAGGCTCATCAGGGTCAGTCCCAAACCCTTCAAAATCCCTCTTGTCGACACAATCTGGCCACTAGGAGCTTTCTTTGGAGCCATGGTAGCTTATTTAATACTTGCAAGCACTAAAATGAGTAGAATATTATGAAATATTTCGTAGGAGCACGTGAGGGGACCTTCGCTCACTGGTAAACAGTGCGAGACTGGCTGGGTAGGGAGGCCGCCCCGGCTCACACCGTGTGTACGCGTCCCGGACGAACTACTATTCGCGAGTCAACCTATGATTAGTGAGCCCATGTTTAGACAAAAATATCTCTGTGATTTCTGAAATCTATGATTCCCGAGAACTACGAAACACGAGGTACCACTGTACATTGTTTATTTCACTAACTGGCTAAATTCATATTTTTTCAATATGGATATGATATTGAGATTTGAAGTATTTATTTGAAGTATAGCTCTGATCAATAGCTTGGCTAAATTTAATTGCTTTTATTGGATAGGATATTAATGTTTTGCTTGGTTCACCAGATTAACCTTGTTTCAACAAGGATACCATCCTTAGCTTTGAAGAATGTTTCTTTTCAAGAGCTTGATATAAATATGGTTGATTGAACTGGAACATAATTCCTGTGCTTGAAGACTTGCTTTTTCATTGACTTTTTTTTTTCTTCTACATTTTGGTTTAAGCAACTAATTAAGTTCTCTACTGGATTGTATTTTTTCTTCTCTAGTAGTTTTTCTAATGAAATTAAAAAAAATTCTTCCCAATTTCACAGGCTCTCGAAGTCGTTACGAGGGCTACCCACCCACTTCTAATGCTGGTTATGAATATGACCCCTACTCCCGAGGACCTCCAGCTCATCAAGATTATCCTTACGACCAAGTTGGTTACCCGCCTCAGACTCAAGCTGGATACAGTGGTCACTATCGGGATGCTGCAGGTAACTACGTGGATCCTGGCTACCTACAGCGCCCTCCTACCCCACCTTCACCTAGTGAACGTTCCGAGTCTCCCCCTCCTCACCGCACCATGCAGCAAGGTATGTGGCTCTTGCTATCTCATGTCTTATTCTACTCTCATGAATATTTCACCTGGAGATGCTGTATGAAATCTGGAAATGCACACACTTGCTCTCCAGAATTGTCTCTATCTCTTTTGGGAATGCTATATTAACTAAAAAAAAATTGCAGATTTTAGCATGTTCATTTTTGTTTTCTATGTAGAATAGTATTATAAATTACTCTTTTACTATAATGACAATTCATGGGCAAGTGTTGGCTGTCTGCTAAGCAGTTAGTATCGAGAGCTTTGCTTAGTTACTACACCTTAAGAATTTCATTAACATTAAAATTTCAATAATGTAATCTCAATTGTCAACTGGTTTTGCTGGAACTGTCTTCCAATGTATCGGTTTCAGTGGGTATTGGCTAATTTTGATGACATGGGTATTTGTATCAACCTGAGGTTGAGTGTCAATACTGGTATTGGCTAAAATTTTGGTATTGTCCCATCTCTAGCTGGAACACTCCATGGAAAATTGTCCTGTGGTATGGTTGGTAATGCACTCAATTCACACATTGAGGTTTGTGGTTTGATTCCTAGTATGGGTGGAAACATTAGGATGTGTTTCCTTAACCCTTTGAGGGTCAACAGGCCCTCTCCCAAACTTGTTCTCAGGGTTGAAAATTTAAAAAAAAAATATTATTTTTTCTTATGAAATGATAGAGCATATTTTTGTGAGTGTTACAGGTCAAAAAAAAAAAAATTGCAATCAATACTTACCAAGATATGGAGGCATGAAGTTGACAGAAAGTGAGCTGCTTACGGCAATATCACTGACTGCCGGTCACACAGTAATAGTTTATTTATTATTTTTCTACTTTTTTCTTTTATTTTTTAACATTTTATTTTTACAAGTAACTTTTGTGGCGTGTGAGACCAATATAAGCCATATTTTAGATATATACACTTGTTGTATACTACACAATAATTGCACAAACATTGACACCCTGCCTCAGTGGGAGACGGCCGACTTGTTGAAAAAAAAAAAAATTGACAGATGAACATTTTCACCTATTTTAGTCACATACTATTGTCTAGAAATATATACATAGTATTTATAGGTCCTAGCAATGTTTTGGTGGGGGAAGGGAGCGTGGGTTTGTGTAAACAACATGGCCAACTGGCTGGCTGGCTGGCCGGCTGGCTCTGTGTCTCTGTCTCACAGGTACACACAAATACAATTATACATAGTGTAAATTACCTAGGATACATGGGAGAATATACTAATAATAATTGAAGCATGGTGTAAGACTTGTGTGTCACTCGTCTTATCTTATCACTCCACTAATGACAGTGGTGACATTTGATGAGGGAACACTGCCTTCTCTTTATCTGTTTTTGCTTTACACAAACATGTCTGTCTGTCTGCTTGCCTCTGTCTGTCTCAGAGAGCCACTAGTGAACTAACATGTATTACACACAATGCAGTGCGTCACATCTGAGTCCTGATACAGTGGACCCCCGGATTACGACATTAATCTGTTCCAGAGAGTGTGTCTTATACTGAATCTGTCGTAATCCTAATTAATTTTCCCCATAAGAAATAATGGAAATCCAATTAATCCTTTCCAGACACCCAAAAGTATTAAACAGTATTAAACAAAATAATTTTTTTACATGAAACATACATTTCCCTACACAGAAAACAATGAGACATGCAAAATAAATAAATAAAATGACACCTTTATTGAAGACTTATTGATGAGTGATTAGATGGGAAGAGGGGAGAGGATAGAGGTGTATTAGTGTTTGGAAGGGGAATCCCTTTCCATAAAGACTTTAGGTACAAAGTCCTTATCTGGGCTTACTTCCCTTTGTTTTTTAATGCCACTGGGACCAACTTCAGAGTCACTGGACCCCTGTCACACAAAATATCTGTCCAGAGAGCTATGTTTCTGGCATCTCTAAGATTTCCCTAAAATGGGACACAACATTGTTATTGTAGATGTTGCCAGCACGGCCTGCAACAGCTGTGTCAGGGTGATGTTCCCTGTAGCTACAACTAAATAATGATCCGATACATCCGTTGCCCCTGTATAAACATTTACATCCTGAATCCTGCCCATCAACCTTCTGTCCACCAATACAAAATCTAACAAACTACTTTCATTACATGCTCTATCATATCTTGTATACTTATTTATCCCCTTTTTTTATGAAAGATGTATTGCTTATTTCCAAACATCTTTCTACACATAGCTTAATTAAAGGCTCCCATTTTCATTTACCCCTGGCATCCCGAATTTACTTACTACTCCCTCCACAACATTTTTACCCACTTTAGCCTTGAAATGCCCAACCACAATTACTCTCTCACTTGCTTTAAAACTCCCCATGCACTCATTCAACATTTCCCAGAATCTCTCTCTCTCTCTCCTCTACACTTATCTCTTCTCCAGGTGCATAAACACTTACTATAACCCACTTTTCACATCCAACCCTTATTTTACTCCACATAATCCTTGCATTTGTACATATTCCCTCTTTTCCTGCCATAACTTATCCTTCAACATTATTGCTACTCCTCCTTTAGCTCTAACTCTGTTTGAAACCCCAGACCTAATCCCATTAATTTCTCCCCACTGAAACTCTCCCACATGTTACATATGGAGAGGTTAACTTTAGGCCACTGATCCTTTCTGGGGAATTGGTTTGAATATCGGCTTTATCTAGGGGTAAAACTTAATACACAACAAGGGTATTGAGCGGCAGTGTAGCAGTGCTTATTCTATGAAAATTTCCTTTTAATAAATGTGAGGATGACTCAAATTCCAGAGTAAAATTCTTAATTTTAATATTAAACTTAGATACTCATAAATTTATGAACTCTGGTCAATAAGACCATTATATCACTTATCTTCCCCTTCCTACATAAAGAGAATGATTATATATAAGTATGGTTATAGATGTAAGATTTTACCAGGAAAGCATAGATCCCAATGGTAAAGTTAGACATACGTTAAGGCATATTAAATAATCAGTACCTTACTGACAACTTGTAACAATTAAGAGAGACTTCTTGAATTATTCCACATCATAACCCAAGCAGTTATTTGCTAAGAGATATTGTCCCATGCAAGAGACTAAGTAATATTTTTAGAGCTCCAGGGGAAATTGTGTTAACGGCTGAGGGCCTGAACTTACAAGAGTATGAACCTACTCCCTTACTACTTCCTTTGGCAAATGCCTTTGAAAAATTCTCTGTAGTATCACCCGTGACTGAGGGCATCAGCTGTGACTAACATCTCACCCATGAGTGTAGTGTCACCCATGAGTTCCCTCTCCATGAGTAGCCATTACAGTTTTTTCCTTATCTCTGCTCAACGCTCGTTCTGGAGGGCCAGAGGTGATAACAATCTCACACCACACACTGTTTCCATAATAGCTTGAATACAAGTCTTGTTACTCATCTTATCCTTCAATGTCTGCAAAATGTTGACAATAATACCAATGAGACCAATAGCACTACCAAAGATTTCTATGAACAGAAATTGCACAAAGATACCATCAGCTAGAACAGTAGCTGAACCAACAATACCAACAGCAAGGCCACAGAACAGATTAGTGAAGTCCACATCAACCTGCAGTGAACATCAAGGAACCAGAGAGTAGGTTCTGTTCCAAAATGTCATCACTTGTATCCTTTCAACATACCAACTAAAATGATACAATTCGTCCATAGATAGCACTGCCTCACAAAATGACTGAAAGGTTCTTGGTCTTACTAGGGCTGCAAACAATAGCACCAACCATGCTAGCTCTTGTCGTGTGGATGCTCTTGGCAGCTCCAACACATATAGGGAGGCACTTATCAAGAACCTGCCAAAATCAGTGCATTCACTCTGCCCAGTAATGGTGTCACCAATAGCAATGGGGAAGAGACATAGTTCCTTATACCCCATGGTTGCTTGTCTTCTGGGCGAGTGGTAAGTGAGCCAAACATCGGTAGCCATCATACTGGGAGTCAGTATTAACACTCAAGTTAGCAACTTCCCATTCTAGAGGTTTCTCTATACTGATTGCTATACTCTTAACTTTTTTAGGTCATCCATTTTAACCAGAAAGAAGGAAACAATTTTGGTTCTTTTTAGAGAACGCTTTGGAGGGGAATCTCCATTTGTTGTGGTAATATACTGCATCGATCCTTTTCATTGGATCAAAATCCTGGACAGGCCCCCATTTGTTACGTCAGGGGCCATGTCTATAGGCCTGTTTTGGCCCTTTCTGTAACAAGATGTCAAATCAAGCTCTGGTCTAGTTGTCCTTAGGCAAATGCTATTTTAATTTGGGAATTATAATTAGGAGATTGATCCGACTAAATAAAATATGTGATCTTTAATACAAAAGAATTCATATAAAAACTTTAGTCTCATACAAAGTTTGGATCCCATTGCAGTGCAGTATCTAGACTGCTGTAATCAGTAATCGTATTAAGCTGGAATCTGTTTATGCTTTAGGGAAGTTATTCTACCCTTATAGAGGATCTGTTAATGGTCCCTGGTATGGTTGGTAATGTCATCTACTCATCTCTGACTCAGTGATAGCTTGCTATTAGTTGAGACTTCAGTCTGTCTGTACTTTAACAAAGACTTCTGGCTTTAAGGATTATTATCTGTCTTTATTGAAACGATAGTTTCATTTGATACATTTCGGAACTTTCATGCAAATATGTTATTGAATAAGACTCGTGTCATTGAGTGTAAGCATTGTACAGAAACATTTACAAGTAAGTCGTATGTCGACTGTTTTCCGTATTAAGTGTATCATTATGTATTACAGTGCAAGAGAGAGAAGAACTTTGTATCATACACTAAGTTTTTATATTAGTCTTTTCTGTTAAAGATCGTATATTTTATTTAGTTGGATCAGTGTCCTAATTATAATTCCTGAATTAAAATGGAATTTGCCTAAGGACTACTAGACCAGAGCCTGATTCGACATCTTATTACAGAAAGGACCAAAACAGGCCTATAGACG